CTCTTTTCTTTATATTGAGTTTTAAAACTTTTATGTTGTCCTGATATATAAATAAGTTATGAGTTCTGTTTGCTTTGTTTTATTCTCCATTATGTATAGTTTTATTGCATTTAGGGCTGTTAGGAAACAAGTAATAAATTTATGTGTAAAAATTGATTGTTAAATTAACATATATTTTAATTAAATATATTGCTACGGTTAATTAGTTTTGCTATGCAAAATTAGTAAACCATAGGGGATATACCACCTAATTTCGCTCTGCATAATTAAGTAACCATAGTAACCAAATATAAAAAATCACTTTTATAAGAAACGAAGACATCATATTAATACATATGTCAAATAGAGTGTACGTAGCACAAATGAAAAAACTACTAGAAACAGGTTGTTGCTTTGCAAAATTAGGTATCCATAGCTACTCAATATAAAAATTATCACTTTCGTAAGATGCGCAGACCTCATTTTGGTACTCTAGCTAAATTTGGTAAATACCGTACTAGTATTAAACTAGTTGTTAATTTTGTCTCAAAATTGACTATTCTGGCCCACTTTGCATTGTATGAAGTTTATTGGTGCATTTTAAAAATATTTTCTTAAGGTTCTTTGTAATCTTTCAGTTACCTTGTTTATATTGTTTATCATTGTAATTTTGTGAAAGGTTAGTATTGTTATTATTTTTTTTTAAATAATTATCACTATTTAATTGTGCAACGACAAACTAATATTTAAAAAAATAAAAAAAGAAGTTGCATTAACTATAACTCAGTCTAGTTTATAATGTTATATGTTCAATTCATTACGTTTCATAATGAATTATATGTAAAATTTTATTAAATTATATGTAAATTTTGTTAAATTATATGTAAAATTTTCACATTATAGGTTATGGTCTAAAAAAGTCACTCCCATTTAAAGCAACTGATTTTCTAAAGAAAAGTAGAAAACCGCTGGTGCCTACTGTATAACTGAACAGACTGAAACATTTATATTGAATGAAAAAGCCAATATCGATAAACAAAAGAACAATTTATAAATGTAAATTTATAAATTGTTCGCTAAACTTATGACAGACTTTCTTTTAAAACGCTGACCAAGAAAGTTTGTCATAAGTTTAGCGCATGCGTTATTGCTGATTTATGACACCTTGTAAGATATTAAATGCTTCTAATTTTACCAAATCCCTTAGCTAATAATAACTGGTTTAAACTGGGCATTACATTACTTTTATTTAAAAAAAAAGTGATGAAACTACGTAATGGTATAAAATCAATGGCGTGTTAACGCGCGTAGCTCTGTTGTGCACACAAAACTACGCAAAGTGATTAAACAATAATATTGTTAAAATACTTTAAAAATATTTTTACGTAGCATAAAATAAAATACTCATGTCTAAAGCACTTCTTCCTGAATTGAAATGCTGTCTAAATGGTTTAACACCGTCAATTCAAGCAGAACATCTCTTTTTAAACGAGAATTAGCGAGTTATCAAACGCAATCTTTTTTAAATGTGTAAGTTAAACTGTCTATAATTTGAAACTATCAAAGACAATTTTTCTTTAATATGTAAATTAGGCTGCTTACAATTTAAAAAGCAAGCTGTGTACAATTTAAAAAGCAGCCGTAGCGCAGTGGTCAGCGCGTTTGCCTCAGTAGCTAGAGATCTGTGGTTAAATACCACCTCTGGCTAAATTTTATAACAATGATAATGAAGGAGGCATGAACTTCCCTTAAAAATGCTTTTCTGCGGTTCTCTGCGACTTTTCAACTTCTTTGAAAAAAAAATGTCAAACGCAAATCTTTCTTTAATAGGTAAATTAGGTTGTCTACAATTTAAAGGAGTGTCTTTGTAAGAAAAAGTTTTAGTGGAAGAAACGGTATAATATATTTCTTGAATTAGCTTTCATTATATGATATATCCAAAATTTTTTAACTTGTCAAATTGTTTGTTTCTCACAGTGGCTTTGATACAGTCGTTCTTGATAGACCATACTCTTTTTAGACCCTTGGCAGACCATACTGCAGCTGTGGCGCAGTGGTAGCGCACTTACCTAAGAAATTTAACCGCACAAAGAGTAATTAGAAAACGCATTTATAATGAGGCTAACCTTAGTTTATTCAAAAATCAACTTTCATTACTACACTGGAATAACATAAATTTTAATGATAATGCTAACAATATCTATGAGTCTTTTTTCAAAACATTTTTTTCTGTATACGATGCTAACTTCCCAATCATTGAAAATAAAATAACTACTAAGAGCTTAAATACACCCTGGATCACTAAGGGTTTTAAAAAATCGTCCAAAATTAAGCAAAAACTATATATAAATTTTTTGAAAACAAAAACACCTAAAAACGAAAAAATTTACAAGGACTACAAAAACCTATTTGAAAAAATTCGCAAAAATCTAAAAAAAAAATTATTACTCCCAATTACTCAATACATTTAAAAATGACACAAAACGCACATGGCAAATAATGAATGAAATTATTGGAAAACAAAAATCATGCTCAGGTTTTCTGCCACAAATGGTTAGAGTCGATAACAAAAGTTTATACGAACCAAGAACTATAGCTCAAGAATTTAACAAATTTTTTATCGATATAGGTCCAACACTTTCTAAAAAAATCCCAAACACCAAATCTTTATTTACTGATTTTCTAGTACCCATTGATAATTGCATTGGTTCAGTTGAGTTGTCTTCTGAATTGTTGTTTGAAGAGTTTGAAAGAGCCTTCAAATCTTTAAAAAAAAATAAAGCAGTTGGAGCAGATCAAATAAATGGAAACGTTATTATAGATTGTTTTGAACAGCTAAAAGTTGTTCTTTTTAAAGTTTTTAAAGCTTCTATCCATCAAGGTGTTTTCCCCGAACTGTTAAAAATTGCCAAAATTATTCCTATTTTTAAAGAAGGGGACAAATCAATTATAAGTAATTATCGCCCTATTTCTGTTCTTTCCACCTTTTCAAAAATTTTAGAAAGAATTATATATAACAGAGTATACAAATATTTTCATGTTAATAAATTACTTAACATTAATCAATTCGGTTTAAAAAAGGATAGCTCAACTGAACATGCAATTATCCAATTTGTACGGGAAATCTCAAAATCATTTGAAAAATCACAATATACTCTAGGACTTTTTATTGATCTATCAAAAGCTTTTGATACGGTTGACCACCAAATTCTAATCCATAAACTTAAACACTATGGAATAGTGTTTAAGTTTATGGATTAGAATTTGGTGTAAATATAATCCATAAACTTAAACACTAAATTCTAATAAAACAAAGTGGACCTTATTCCATTCGCTTTCCAAAAAACGATATTTGCCATTAAACTTACCTAAAATTTTTATTGATCAAAATGAAATAAAAAGGGATTCCGTAACAAAATTTTTAGGTGTTTACCTTGATGAAAACATCACTTGGAATCATCATATCGACTACATAAGCACTAAAATTTCAAAAAACATAGGAGTTTTATATAAAGCACGAATCTACCTCAATAAGAAAATTTTAATCAAACTTTATTATTCATTTATACACAGTTATTTAAATTATGCTAATATCGCCTGGGGTAGTACAGAAAAAAGTAAGTTGCAACGTCTTTATCGCCGTCAGAAACATGCTATCCGTTTAATCTGCTTTGCAAATCGCTTTTCTCACGCAAAACATTATTTTATTGAAATGAGAATTTTAAATATATACGAGCTAAATATATATAATGTTTTATGCTTTGTATACATGTGGAAAAATGACTTGTCTCAATCTGTCTTCAAAGATATTTTTACTCCGAAACCCATCAACAAATACAATTTGAGAAATACTGATTTTTTAAATGAACCTTTCTGTCAAACGAACTTTAATCAATTTTGTATTGTCTATCGGGCACCACACCTTTGGAATAAAATTGTTTTGCCCAATTTTGATTTCGAACTACCCATTACTTTTCGTTTTTTTAAAAGTAAATTAAAAACCCTTATTTTTTCATTAGAAGACGTATTATGTTATTATTAATAATATAAATTAATAACTTTGCCTTTTCTTATTTATATTTGTAAAAAGTTTATTCTTACTTATTTTGCTGATTTTATATTCTTTACTTCACGTATACGTTTATATAAAATATTAGTGAGTAGATCCGCGTGATCTCTCTTTGGATTATAAAATATATATTTGGATTATATATATATGAAATTTGTAAAAATTTGATACTGTTAATGCTTGTTTGAACTTATTTAAGGTTCTGACGACAAGATCCTTTGATCTTCTTTCAGATACCTTATTTTATATTTGTGAAAGTTTATTATTATCATCATTATTTTTTTTTTTTTTTTTTTTTTTTGGCAAGTTGTAATACGACTAACAAATGTAAAATTAAAAAAAAAAAAAAAAAAAAAAAAAAAAAAAAAAAAATGCAAGATCCGTGTTTCAAACCCACCTCTCGGCAAATGTTATGACATTGGTTGGAAAGGAGGCGTTAAATAAAATTTAAGTATTCTCTGGGGTATCACAAGACTCCATTTTTAATCTTGTGTTAGCTTTTACCATATGCTGTAATAGCAATAATAATGACAACTAGATGACAAGATATGTCATTAAAGGTGACTCTAGCGTTTTTAAAATTTTTAAAAATATTTTGTTATATTTATCTATTAAATCATAGCTGTATTTAAAACTTGAATATTTTTTTTAAGTTGTGTAATGATACACCTATTTCTCAAAATCAAGTTATGATACCGTCCCGCCCCACCGCGTCGTAATCTTTTTTTAATCTTTTTTAAAATGAGATTTATTTTTTTTTTTGTTTAGAGCTAATCCGGCGTTACAAAAAAATATAAAAATAATTTTTCTTGTCAAATTAAATTAAAACATACTTTGAGGTTGTAAAACAAACTTTGTAAAAAAAAGTAAAAAAAATGCCAAAAGTGAAAAAAATTTCACGAAATAAAAAAGATAAAGTAAAACGAAAACTCTTTGTAAAACCTGTAGCTGTAAGTTTATTAAATGTTTTTTTTAAAAAATGATTTATATTTAATATTTTTTTAAGTGCATGTGTTTTTTTAGATTGATTTAGATTTTTTAGATAGACCTTACGTTCCGGAAAAAATATATAAAACATCACAAATTTATATTCCTCGAGTGGTAGAAACAAGACCACTCGAGAGGGCAGATGAAATAATGTATAATGGTGAACTTGATTATTTTGATGACATTTCAGAAATAGATGACGGTAAATTTATAAACTATTAAATATTATTTTTATAAACATGATATTTTTTTAAAAAATCTAATAGTTTAAAATAATTTTTTAGAACAAGTACGGATATTAGACAATATAATGATCAGAATAGAAAGAGATTTGGCACGTCAGATGTGAAAAAATTAAAAATGCTTTTAGAAATTCCTTACGGTGTCAGAGAAAAAATTAAAGACAGATTAGATTTTATGGAGTACATCCAGTACAAGAATTTTGTGTATCAACACTTTGAATATAAAACTATCGAAGCAAAAATAAAACTTGTTTTAAATTTATTAAAAGAAGTAGTAGACGGGATATTTATAAAAGGTTTATAATTAAATTAGAAGAACCTCCATCGTACGAAGAAAGTCATTCAATTGATCTATCAAGACTCGGTTTTAATCCGCCTTCGTATACAGAATGCAATCCTCCTACGTATGGAGAAAATCAAAGATATCTGTTTACAGATTTATCCGCCTGAAGTTGTCAATTTAAGACAAGAAGAACTTTTTAATTATTATAATAAAAAAAAAAAATTTTCTTCAATTTTGTATATTTCTTTTATAATAAAATAAAATTAATAATAAATAATAAAATTTTTTCTTTTAATTTGTATATTTTTTTTATAGCATGATTAGTAAAGAAAAATTAAAACAAATGCTTAATGAAGTAAAAGAATTTCATTCAATGACACAAAACAAATTGGAAGTTTGGAAATATAACTATTATCTTGTTTTCGATGTTGTTTTGAATGTTGAAACATGGTCTTTAGAAGATTTGTGTAAAAGAAAATTAGCTTACGAAAAACTTTTGAACACTGTTATACCAAATTTACAAAAACAAATCAACGATTTAATGTGTCCATTTTTTCATGTAAACGAAAATTTATTAATGTTATATCATCGTTATCAATTATATGGTAATGATTGTTTTTATAACATTATTAACATGTCATCTGATTTTTATAAAAGACATGATTTATTTGTTCAACATTTAATTATACAAAGTGTATTTAAATTTTTTGAACGAACATATACTATGCTTCGTTATAAAACTAAACAATACAAATTAATTATGACATCTTTTTTTAATATTTATATGGAATGTATAGAATGGTTAATTGAACAATGTAAATGTGTTTATGATCCTTATTTTAAACCTTGTTATGTTTATAAATATGATTTTATTTAGAATGTTAAGAAAAAAATTAATTAGACATGCTAGAATACATCATGATTTAAAGAAATTTTTTTCAATAAAAGAAGACAAATTGAAAGAGTTTTAGATTAGGAGTAATGGAGAATTAAGATTAAAAAGCCGTAATGATACATGGACTTTGACAGATTTGTGTAAAAGAAAGTTAGCTTCTGAAAAACTGTTACGAATAGTTATACCAAATGTACGTAAACAAATTAACAATTTAATGTATTCGTTTTTTCAAAATAATCAAAAAATTTTATCACAATATTCTGTTTACAAATCACACGAAGACGATTGCTTTGATTTAATTGACAGACGTACATTAATTGACAGACGTACATTAATTGACAGACGTACATTAATTGACAGACGTACATTAATTAGATCACATTATTTAGGGAGCATTTCATAGACTTCAAATGATGGTCGGAGAAGAAATTTTAAAACAAACAATCAATTTAAAAAACATTGAAAAAACAAAAGAAATTAAACAAGAATTTTATAACTTTGTAAATCAAGTAATATCACAATAATTTTTTTTCTTTTTTTATTTAGACTCATAACAAAAAAAAATGAAACTTGTAAAAAATAATCAAACAAGGTATGTCAGTTATAACCCTCAAGAAGCTAGAATTCTTATAAAGATAGCAGAAGACCGATACGGGACCGATAGTTGTAAAGTATTAGCAGAATTTCATCGTATTGCTGTTTTTGTAGACGAACAAATTCAAAGACGCACAAATAATTTTAGAAATATAGAACTATTTGAACAAATCAATAACAATTTTGAAAACTTTGTAAAAAGTTTATTTTAATAAAATTATAAAATTTTTTTTTTTTTTAAGATTTATAATGAAATTAAAAAATTATAATATATACGATACCGATACTCATGTCAGCTTTAACCGCGAAGAATATAAAATTTTTATGGAATTGGCTATAAATCGATATGGAAACAATAATTTTAAAGTTTTAAAAGAATTTCATTGCATCACTGTATTGATTGATTACGAAATACGTAAAAAAAACATTTAATTTTAAGACGAAGAACATTTTTATTTAATTAATAATAACTTTTAATATTTAGTTAAAAGTTTAGTATGAGAAAAAACAAAATTTTACATTAATAAATCTTTTCAATTCTAATAACAATTTAGCAAACTTTCCAGGTTTTAAAAAGTTATAAATTTTAATTGCACTTGATATAACAAAATTTCCAGCAAGTTGAAAAAAGTTGCATATTCGTGTAGCACTTTTTGAACAAAATTTAAAACTTCCATTTAAAATGCAAAAAGAACTTCTATAATTGTAAAAACAAATATAATAGCTTTAACGAACTTCCCAACTATGTACTTGATTACTACCTGAATCGCACATATATATATATATATATATATTTGGTTTTGGTTTTTCTGGATTGTACGGTTTTACAACTGCAACAGGTATTGGTTTATCAAACTGTTGTAATGGTTTGTTCTTTGATTCCATCTGATTTTTAATAACATTAAAAATTGCTTCTAATATATTTTTTTTTTTGTAACTCTAAACAAAAAAAAAAATTAATCTCATTTTAAAAAAGATTAAAAAAGATTATGACGCGGTCGGGCGGGACGGTATCATAACTAGGGTTGTTAACCGGAGGATTTCGTGCAATTCCGGAAAAACAACATTCTTTCGTAAGAAGATTGAGAACACGGAATTACATTTTTTCGTACCGAATGTTACAAAACATTTAAAATCGCCGATGTTTATTTCGCAAAAGCCACTTCCGAAATTTAGCATTTCGCAAGTTGACTTACGAAACAAAACTATTTTGCAACACACGAAAGTAGCGGTTTCGGAAGTCGCACTTGCGAAACAAACATTTTCGCCAAACGACGTTTTGAAGTCTGTAAAGAAAATTTGTTTGCCAGACTGATTTTAATTGTAAAAATTAACATCTTTAAATCCCAAAATGTTTATAATGAATTTTTATTCTCAGTATAATAACTATTAAATTTTTATGGTTTTATTTTTAGAAATATTGATAAAAAATAAAATTTCTTTCGAAACGAAAGTAATTCGGATCACAACATACGAAAGAATTCTTAACGGAAATAAACTTACGAAACGTGCCATAATAGATATATACAACGATGTTTTTTGAACTCATTACGTATATTAAAAAAAAGAATGATGGGTAGGAATATACATGTTTTTTTTTAAAGCATATGAAATTTTTGAAACAGGTTCGAATATGCTTAAGCAAATAGTAAAAAGAGGCTCAAAAATATGCTTTAGCTTAAGCATATTTCTGATAAAATATACCTATTTCAATAATTTCTAAAAGTGTGCACGTTACTAAAGTTCTAGCAGATTTTAAAGGTATGTAGAGTCCTGTTTGAATACGCTTTTCGAAGTATAGATCTTAGAAAATATTGTTTTTTAATTTTAATAAGATATAAATTTGAGTATAAGATTGTATAGTTCAATCAATTAGATACGTGATAATTCGCCGCAGAGATCCGGGTTCGCATCCCGCAACCATTGTAACGTTTGTTCATTAAACTCTTTTTACTTAAGACAGCATTTTTTGACCTCCATGTTCTATATTACAGATCTTTCGTCACCTTCACAATAGTGACAACCTCTCTTCTGTTAGTTATTCTTTTAAGATTGAGTTCATTGTGCTTAATTTAACACGTTTCCCTTGCTTTACTAAGTTCTACTTAAATTATGATGAAATGTACGTAAAACAACTTTTTCAAATAATATAAATCATTTTGCTTTAAATCTTTTGCTTTTTGTACTAGACATCTGTCCTAAATACTTTGTAATAATTTCTAGCTAACTCTGAGTCTAATATAACCATTTCTGAATATAATTTCCCTGAGGCTCCTACAGCCTATTGTGTTCCATTAAAAGTAACTAGTTTTTGAGTCCAGATATTAATTATAAGCATCTAAAGGTTCACATTACTATTCATTTTCCTGATATATAGAATCCTATTTGCATACGTATCTCTTTCTGTAAATTCTGTTTTATATAGTTTCTTAATTATATATTAAATAAATATTACTATTCACTTAGTTGAATGAACGTATAGCTCATTCAGTTAAGACATTTGGCCGCGGAGACCCAGGTTCACATCCCGCTGTTTCACATATATTTCTTCTCTTTTTACTCTTTCTGATATCATTTACCTTTAGAGAGATCTCTCGTTCTTTATAATAAAGTATTTAATTGTTTATCACACATCCTCTTTATACTTTTTAAAAAGAAAGGCATACTGTTTATCTGTTCATTGAGAGTCCAACTTAACGGGATTTTACTGTATATATATATGTATATATATATATATATATATATATATATATATATATATATATATATATATATATATATATATATATATATATATATATATATATATATATATATATATACATATATATACAGTAAAATCCCGTTAAGTTGGACTCTCAAATATATATATATATATATATATATATTTATATATATATATATATAAATATATATATATATATATATATATATATATATATATATATATATATATATATATATATATATATATATATATATATATATATATATATATATATATATATATATATATATATATATATATATATATATATATATATATATATATATATATATATATATATATATATATATATATATATATATATATATATATATATATACTAGGGTACTTGCTTTTGAGGAAATTTTTGAATTTCAATAAACGACCCCTTCAAATGTGGGACATTGGTGATAAAATTAACTTTGGAAAAAAATTAGCCTGATTGGACCACTCTTGAGCCTCCCCCAAAGCCCATTTATTAAAAAAAAAGGTCAAAAACGCCAAACACAACTATGTTTGAAGGGCTAGGGGGAGGTGATAATATAAATAATTTTAACTGATTTTTTTTTCATAATACAGGTATTGATCTATATTTTCAAATAAAAGGGGTAGTTAAGGCAGATTATGACTATTTTTTCTGTTTTATTGTGTTAAAAAGTGTTAAAAAAGCGCAAAAAAAAAAGAATTATTTTGCCGCGAATAGGTATAATCAAATAATACAATTAAAAGTTTGTTATAAATCTTTAATTAAATAATAATTATTTAAAACAATATTAAAGTTTGTTTAAAAAATTTGGTTGTCAATTTTTATTTTTCAATCATTTTTTCTATTATAGAAAGTGAGTCGATCAACCTCTTTTTAGACAAGTTTGAAGATTTTCTCCCCGGCTTTTTTGTAGCCAATCTAGTTTTATCAACAGTAAGCAGTCTGTTCTGAATTTCTTCTTCTTCATTGTATCTGTGCACAAATTGTTGCATCATTCCTACTGCTCTTTCAGCCGGATCATTTACAACAACTAGAGATTTAGCAAAAGCTTTGAAGATTCTAAAGCTTGATTTTGTATACCAATACTGAGGCGGGAGGGTAAGCCAATCTCTAATCCTTTGTTTACTCAACCCAATTCTATCAAACATCAAGTAGGAGAACTGATCAACTAATAATGATAAACTTGGGGGATCATTGTAAACTCTCGTTTCAACCTTAATCTTGTTTTCCACGTCAATGAGCGATTTGTTGTCGATTTTAAAATAATCAGAGTTCGGCATGTTATATTGAAGCATAGCTGAAGCAATCTTACTTTTTTCTTCATTAGAAACGTCTTTATCCAACAAAGAAAGAGGTACAATTGTAGAATCTAGATACCAGGAATGTTTGTAAAATGATTTCAATACTGCTTCAATTGCGTTTGGTTTGGTCACAAACATCTTTGTATAAATGCATTTTGTGTATTGATAAAATATCTAGATATGGTGCTTTGATAGCTTTGTCAGATTGCAAATACCATTTTGCATAAAAGCATGCTATGAATTCCGCCATGATATTAATTTCTTCTAAAAGTAGTTTATCTTCTTGAACAAATTTAATTTGATTACAAAGCAATTGCAATTTTAGATAATAAATGGCTTTGCCAAGGAACCTTGCATGTTGGACAGCTCCTGGTTTTCTAATTTTTACACCACCAGGAGTCAAATAAGCAACAACTAGCTCAGCTAATTTTTTTCTATCGTCTCTTAAAGTGTTTTCATTTTTAATATATTCTTTGCAAAAATAAAGAGACTCAACTGCAGCACATTTGATGGTAGTTCCTTTTGTCTTATCCCAAAAAAATTGTGTAACATCATTTGTATCATAATGAAAATCAGGAGTTTCAAATATGTCTTTCAGTTTTTTAAATAAAAGATTATCTGGTCCAGATGTCTTTCTTTGTGTCACAACATTACAAAAGTGAACAATCTTCAGCTCTGATATGTGGTGTCTGCAAGCAAGAAATAATGGAAAGATATCTAGATTGTTTGCTATTCTAAAAAGGGAACCCTTTTTAGTTCCAATATTTCTGGAAGTTGTATCAAAGCAAAGCCCACCAATATTTCCTTCGGTTTCATATTCTTTAAGGAGATTCATTACGCCTTTATACTGATCATCCCCTGAGGAAGAAGATAGAGAAGGTACTCCGAGAAGATAAACCTCTCCATCAATGTTTAAAAGTACGCCTAACCTGTCATTTTTGAATCGCTTGCCTTTTTTTAACTCAAATAAGGTTTTACCATCAAAATGAATGATAGGCGGATATTTGGAGGCTTTTAAAGCAACTTTAATGTCATTTCTGGCTTGTTTACTTATTATTAGGTTTACCTTTTTGTGATGAAGCAGTTGAAATGCTGCAGTGTAATTTACCTACATCCACGCCAGCCTTATGAACAACAGAAGTGACAACTTTCAGGAGAACTGCAGGAGATATATCATTGATTGATGCTGCAAGAGCAACACTACCACTGTAAATATCTTTAGGAATTATGCACGTAATCGGTTTTTCTTTTTCTTTTCTCCCAGTTTCCAGGTTCAAAGTCTAAATCATTCAACATTTCTGTATCATTTTCATCAAAATTTGGTTCCTGATGCAAATTTGCTGTAACTTCTAGAGTGCTGTGTTTTCTTTTAAATGTTTTCTTTCG